TTTCCTTTCTATTTGCTTATTTGCAAGATCTGTGTACCAACGTTTTTCCACAGGTTATATGCTGCAAGTTACTTACTCATTTGCCATTTAAAGAAAACTTTAGGTGGGCGCGGTGGTGCACACTTGTAATCACAGTGGCTTGGGAGGCTGAGGCAGGAGGATCTCAGGTTCAATGCTAGGCACAGCAACTTAGCAAGGCTCTAAGCAACTCAGTGAGACCCTGTCTCTAAATAAAAATATAAAAAAGGGGTGGGGATGTTGCTCAGTGGTTAAGCCCTTGGGTTCAATCCCTAGTACCCATAGAAAAAAGAAAAAAACTTTAAGAGTATCAAAAAGTAAACCTGTGACCTTGCCATGCATTCCACTAGTCATTACCAACTACTTCTTAAAATGCTGCCAGGGACCCACATGCAGAAAGTTTTGTGAACTTGCAGTCTTTTTGAGCAGATATACACTGGTTGTGACCAAAACCAGCTTAATGTTTTGTAGTAACTGCTACAAAGTTATCAAATCTTTGTACAATAGAAAAGTATTTAAAATTTATTTTTCTACTGACATTTCTAATTCTAGTGTAAATGTTTATCAATCAAGAATTACTTTTTTAAAGGCTATATACCAAAGTATTTAAAGGTAAAACTATATGAAGGGCTGGAGTTGTGGCTCAGTGGTAGAGCACTTGCTTAGCACATGTGAGGCACTGGGTTTGATCCTCAGCATCACATAAAAATAAGCAAACAAAATAAAGGTATTGTGTACATCTACAACTAAAAACAATTTTTAAAAAACCTATATGTATATGATGTCTGGGATTTACTCCAGAATAACTGGGGGTCACATTGTAGAAGGGGGTAAAAATGAAAGAAGATTGGCCACATATTGATGATTGTTGAAGTTCAGTGGTGGGTACAACAGGTTTGTTATACCAGTGCCTCTGTGTTTGCATGTTTGAAGATTTCCATAATCAAAACTTAAAAGGAAGAAAAAACCATATTTTTCTAAAACACTCAATTAATGATAAGCAAAAGAATGATGATGGAGTTGTTCTGAAGGAATTAGGGCTAAAGTTCATATTAAAATTTAAATCACAATTCCTCATCTATTGAAAGTCATTTTATGACGCCAATGGAGATGAAGAGCTATAACTTATTTCAATTTAAAACAGAAAATAATTATTTTAAATAAAATAATTAAATGAATAAACTGAAAATGTAAATTATTTTAATTTAAAATCTAAAGTGATTATATGAAATGAAAAGTGTATCGAAACAATATGCCAACAGAAGCCGACTTCAATATTTCACATAAAAACATTAGTGCTTCATGATCCTCTCACAGTTTGGACTATGAAGATGTAAAGGAAAAAAAAAACCCTAAGCAAAACAAACATGAGTAATTGCTTAGACATTAGGGAAAGGCTATATTAAGGTTGTGTGCTTGGAAGCATGTAAATTTGAAATAAATAAGGTTGTCATTTTTTAATGACATTGTGGAGAGCAGGCTGTGCCCTGCCCATGATATGCAGAACAGCAGTTTTCAGGCTGTGCTTGAACCTGAGTTTGCCATGACCTTCTCCATTTTGAGTGAAGTGCAGAGTTGGAATGATCCTACATCCTGTTTGTAAGCAAACAGCAAACAGCCCCATGTGATTGGCACAACCATGAGGCATAAACGGATAAGTTAATCACACTAATAAAAATGAACTCCTATGGACTTATAAACTAATTGGAAGCACGAGGATGCATGGGCATATCAAACTCCACTCAGGAAAACCAGGTCCATGATCTTATTGAACACACCAGATCACTAAATGAAGCAACCCACCTGGTTACTCCTCATGAGCTTTGCCCAGAAAAATCTCCATAGTGACCAACCTCTAGATCTCTGCCCTCAGGTTTTAGCAATTTCTCCTGCTCAACTCTCACAGCCCACTCCAAGCTGACATCTCAAGCTGACACTCTGACACTGCCCTCTGTCTGGACCGTGGCCTAGAATGAACAAAATCTTGCACTTCGACAGCTCTGCACCCTGAACAAGTTCTTAGGCTGGTTCCTAATCTTTTTTAGGGGGAGAGGAGTGGGCTGGGAGGGAGCATGGGAGATTGAACTCAGGGGCACTCAACCACTGAGCCACATCCCCAGCCCTATTCTGTATTGAATTTAGAAACATGGCCTCACTGAGTTGCTTAACACTTTACTTTTGCTGAGGCTGGCTTTGAATTTGAAATCCTCCTGCCTCAGGTTCCCGAGCCCCTGGGATTACAGGCGTGTGCCACTGTGTCTGGCTCCTAATCTTATCTGATTGTCAAGAGTGACTCTTTGCATTTATTCTTTTCATACATAACTGCTCTCTGCTTTTAGCCTGATGAATCCCCTATCTAAATAATTATACATAGTTGATAGATAAATAGATATTCTGAAACATATTTTTTTCTGTAAAGTGTGCTGTTATCATTATTAAAAATTAAGATTGGAATAAAAGAATTTGTTTTTGCCCAGTTTATGACTACCAGGAGACCCACAGTATTCAGTAAGCTCCACAGGTGAAAGAGGATAGCTTGTGAATTTATCATTATCTAATAAATTCTGACATTGTAGAAAGATACAAACATATTTAGTCTTTGTTAATGACATAGCTTGCCCAAGACAGATGCATAAGCTTAACATATTCAAAGTTAATTAGTAACAAACAACTGACTCACAGAATACATAAACTTTCCAAAGTTTGATGCTGTACCACTGAGTTACATCCCCACTCCTCAAAGTATTTTTCTTAGTAGTTGTATGAACACAGATATTGCTCAGAGGGCAGTTCTTCTGGTAGATATGTCATAGAAAGATGCTCTGTTCCTGGTTAAACAACTAACTCTCACATATAAAATTCATGAATCTAGGTAGAATTATATTGTCAAAAAGTACAAGTTGGAGTTGTCACTTTGTGTAAGATATGTTCTGAAGTTGTCATTTTGTGTAGGATATGTTCAGACAGGCCAGCCACAAGAACAGGAAAATACTCTTAAGTTTTATGTTACTTGATTCTAATAACAAATAAAATTAGGGCACCTATTTTCTATGTCCTTTTTTTTCATTTCTTTTTTTCCATAGATTTATTTTGATTACATTTTACAAAAGCATCAGTTTGTGACAGCTTTCAGGGAGTGAATTTCCCATAGAAATCCTCACACGCTCACCCATGCAGAGGGTTAAAAAGACCTGAGTCGCAGCTTAGCCTCCAAAATTGAAAATTTGGAAACCACCAAAATACCAATGGACAAGAGAAAGGAGAAATAAATTTTGGAATATGCATATACTGGGAAATGATTCAGTATGTTAAATGAATTAAACCAAAGCTGCATATATCAATATGAATGAACCTCAAAAACATTTTGGGAAGAAAAGGAGGCTACCAAAGGAGAGCTACAACACGATACCACTTATTTACAGGTTGGATCAGACAATGACAATCTTACATATATACATTTTTATAGGTGTACTTTAGGGATGGTATAAATCCCTATGGAGATTAGAAACATCATAATAGTCATTTGGGAAAGACTGGAGGGAAAGCAACTGAGGAGCTATTTTATTTTTTGGCAAAAATTTGAGGTGTGGGTGACAAACTGCTATGATTTGGTGGAGCTGGGTGGAGGTGACAGAAAGATTTAATTGTTATTTTCTTATGCTTCTCTGTATGTTTGAAATTTTCACAAATATGACTCCGGAACCTTCACTGAAAATTTTTTTTTGTAGTTGTAGATGGACAGACTCCCTTTATTTTATTTGTTTATTTTCATGTGGTGTTATGAATCGAACCCAGTGCCTCACACATGCTATGCAAATGCTCTGCCACTGAGCTCAAATCTTCACTTTTATGTGGCATTCAGTTGGAGCATAAAGAAGCACAGACTTAGACACTCCCATCATAAGGGAGTGAGTGTACTGTGGCGACTTTCCAATTTCCTTAAACACTGTCACCTGGCATTACTTACGTGTTCAATCATATATCAGGTACCTATTCTAGCCAAACCAGCCCAAACCAGCTCAAATCTTCACTTTTATGTATATTATTCTCTTCAAAATTATGAACATCTTTGGATTTTCAAGATGAGTAAGTTTAAAGAAAGATATAAAGGGAAAAGTAAAGCAGACAGCATATGGGCATGACCAAATCATGTGACACTCATACTGCAGGAATGCAGGATGGGAATTCTGGTAGGTTTGCACTGTCCCTTTTTATCCCAGCTGATCCAGGGTCTCAAATCAAATTCAAAGCTCAACCAATAGCGACGTCGATAATTCTTATTCTCTTTCTTTAGATCTGATTTTTCCTACTCTCTTTTCTTCCTTATTAATAGCTTATGTGTATTTCAGGGCAGTGACATGTGCTGAGTTCCATCCTAACTTTGTCACCTCTTCATCGTCCACTGGAATGATCCAAATGGACTCTCAGATAGACTCTCCCAACGTTGGGCATCTGTCTTGCTGAAGTCCTCCCATTGTAGGAACAATATATCAATAAAGCACCTACAACAAACAGAAAATACATTCTAAGAAAACTTTCAAGCAAACAACGAACTGTAAATTCTCTCCCTGATGGCTTTTGTACATAGTGAATTATCACCTATACCTGAGTCTAAAGTACTGGTGAAAGCAGTGATGTTTCAGATGTATAAGTGAGTCTTAGCCCAGAGACTTGGTGAATGTTCTTCTATACCCTGGAATGGAACCTGTCTTACAGGAAACAGTGTTCATTCCAAAAGTTTGAGTGAGATTCTAGGATTCTGGCAGAGATTGTGAGAGTCCTAGAGAGACACAAAGGCTAGAATAGGTACCTGATATATGATTGAACACGTAAGTAATGCCAGGTGACAGTGTTTAAGGAAATTGGAAAGTCGCCACAGTACACTCACTCCCTTATGATGGGAGTGTCTAAGTCTGTGCTTCTTTATGCTCCAACTGAATGCCTCATTCGCACTCAAGAGCATAGGCTGAGCGAATCCCTTCATGGAGCAATTCAAGGGCTACAAGATTCTGATTGCTGGGTTGCTCTTTCTGGTTTGGGTGAGTACCTCCCTCGACTCTGATTCCTCTCATTGCTGGCTCATTTCTTCTTTCCCTATGCAAACTCCAGTTTAGATCGTAGGAGACCGGACGGAGGGAAGAGCTCAAATTTTTGACCTCGACCTCATAGGATTCTAGAATGAGTAAATGCAGCGTGGAAAATCAGTTTAAGGAAGAAGGTGAGCAGATTGGATCCTGAGCTCTACTAGGGAATCTAACACAAACTCAGAATGCAATGTCAAAAAGCTGGTTCCAGGGCTGGGGTTGTAGCTCAGTGGTAGAGCATTTGCTTTGTATTCGTGACGCACTGGGTTTGATCTTCAGCAACACATAAAAATGAATAAATAAAGATTTTGTGTCCATCTACAAATAAAAAAAAATTGCACTGGTTCCACTGCCCTCTAAAGAAACCAATAGCTCAAGAAACAGAATGATGGGGGAAGGGCCTTACTGGCAACAAGTCAGCAAGTTGGAAAATGGGAACTCTGGTCCTTAAGAGCCATCTTGCTCAGGGGACTCAAGCACAATGCTTACATAGGGATTTGGAGGAGGTATACTTTTCTTCTCAGACATATGTGTGGGACACCAGAAATGGTCATAAATTTCTAGGTCGTCTGCTTTTCTGACATACATGGCACTGCTATCTGAAGGTCACCGAATACTCTGGGTCTTTCAGAGACCCAGAAAAAATATTATTAGCAAGTCCCTTTTTCCAAAATAGCTACCTTGCAATTAACCCTTAAGATACAGAACAGGGGAGAAGAGCAAGAGGCAATTATTATTATTATTATTATTATTTGCCAGAGAACAGTTTTAACTTATTAGGTGGATTCAATCTCAGGTAGCATCGACAACAAATAGGAAAAGAATCATCGTACATCATTCAACTGTGTGATCTCCAAAATTAGTCATTTTAAAATATCAACTAAACTGAGGCAGGAGGATCACAATTTTTTAAAAAAAATATTTACTTTTTTTTAGTTGTAGTTGAACATAATACCTTTATTTATTATTTTTATTTGGTGCTGAGGATCGAACCCAGGGCCTCGAATGTGCTAAGCGAGCACTCTACCGCTGAGCCACAACCCTAGCCCAGGGGATCACAATTTTAAGGACAGCCTCAGCAACTTAGTGAGGCCCTAAGCAACTTGGCAAAACCCTGTGTCAAAATTAAAATAATAAATAAATTAAAAGGGCTGGGGGTGTTGCTCAATTGATAAGCACCTCTAGGTTCAATCCCTGGTACCAAAAAAGAAAAGTAATAGGAAAAAAAAAATCAACTAAAACCAAGAGAAGCCAGAAGGTTTATTTATGTTTCCTCTCAGGTGTAAGAAGTTGTTATGGGGAAATCTCAAAGGAGAAAAGAAAAGCAATTCATGGTGTTCATTGTTTTCTCACCTTCCAAAAGATTTTTTTTTTTCTCTTTCTGCCCCAGTGTAAATGAAAGAGATGGAAGTCTTTGGTGTTCAGTTCTGCTTTTTAGCAGAGAGAAAGAGGCAGGGATTTAAAAAAAAAAATCCTGACTAGAGAAACAGCAAATGAGCAATTGAGTGGAGTACATTTTATTGCTTCACTGAGGAACCTGGGAAAGGCCAGAGAATGCATTTCCCTGTCCATCAGTTAACACTGAGTTTTTGATGAAAGATAATTTTGAGCTCTAAACTCATGCTGTGGCACTCAATAAACAGTAGGATATTTTGCATGGAAAAAGAGATTTCTGACTTTTCTTAGAAAGTGGATGATCTTCAGTATGCCTTGACAAGTCAGTCTTCATCCTAAAACCAATGAAAGAGTTAAATAGAAAAATTCTAGTACCTTAATAATAGTTCTGAAGAAGGTGTCCATTTCATTTCCAGAGTAACCTTGTCCATGTGAAAGGGTGAGCGAGACTTCTTTGGGTCTCAGCCAGAACTTTCTACCTTGTAAAAGTAGTTAAGCTACAACACAGATAAAAATATGCATAAAACTTTAAATTCTCAATAAAAGTCAAAGATACCACACCTGTGGTGATCTCAATCCAAGTTGAGAAATGGAAATTTCCATCACCCTCAGAAGCCTCCTCTCATGCCCCCTTCATGTCACTCCCACCTTCATTTCTTTCCAAGGTAGCCAATACCTCGATTTATGACAATATAGTTTAATTTTGCCTGACTAAATTTCTTGGAAAAGTAATCACACCATGTACTTGTTTATGTGTACCTTCTTTTGAGAAATGTCTATTAGATCATTAGCTCTTTGTTGGAGGGTGAGGTACTGGGGATTTAATTAGGGGCACTTAACCACTGAGACACATCCCCAGCCCTATTTACTTTTATTTTGAGATTGGATCTCACTAAATTTCTTAGGACCTCGCCAAGTTGTTGAGGCTGACTTTGAACTTGCAATCCTCCTGCCTCTGCCTCCTGAGCTGCTGGGATTACAGGTGTGCGCCATCATGCCCCCAAATTTGCTCATTGTTGTTGTTGTTGGTACTGGGGATTGAACTCAGGGGTACTCAACCACTGAGTCACATTCCCAACCCTATTTTGTATTTTATTTAGAGATAGGGGCTCACTGAGTTGCTTAGTGCTTTGCAGTTGCTCATGCTGGCTTTGAACTTGTGATTCTCCTTTCTCAACCTCCCAAATTGCTGGGATTATAGGCATGCACCACCGCACCCCACCAATTTGCTCATTTTTTAATTGGATTTTTTTCTTGCTGTTCCTTGTATATTCTGAATGTTAATAATAGTTTGCTCAATATATCTTCTCTCATTCTCCAGTTTGTCTCTTTTTCTCTGTTGATTGTTTCCTCTATCAGTTCAATATAATTCCATTTGCCCATTCTCCCTGCCACCAAAAAAACCCCCTCTGCCTATATCAATATCTTAAGGTATTTCTGCTATGTTTTCTTTTAGTAGTTTTATAGTTTCTGGTTTCCCATGTAGGACTTTGATCCATTTTGAGGGGTTTTTGTTTGTTTGTTTATTTGTTTGTTTGTTTTGTATATGGTGAGAGAGAGGATCCAGTTTCATTCTTCTGCATATGGATATCCAGTTTTCCCAGTACTGTTTATAGAGACTGTTCATTCTTCAATGTATGTTTCTGGCACCTTTGCCAAAGATCAGTTGGCTGTAGATGAGTGGGTCGATTCCTGGGTTCTCCATGTGTCAGCTTTAATGCCCATATCATGCCTCATTGCTTATTTCAACATTGTAATATGCTTTGAGGTCAATTGCCAGGCCTCTGGCTTCCTTCTCTTTGCTCAAGATTACTTTGGCTATTTGGGGTCTTTTACAATTCCACATGAAATTTAGGACTTTTTTTTTTCTATTTCTGAGAAGAATGCCATTGGTATTCTCATGAGGATTACATTGCATCTTTAAATCTCTCTGAGTAGTCTAAACATGTTTACCACATTAATTCTTCCAACCCATGAACTTGGGATGTTTTTCCATTTTTATTTATTTATTGTGGTGTCTTCCTCAATTTCTTTTATCAGTGAATTGTAATTTGAATTGTGGGGATCTTTCACTCTCAGTTAAATTTTTTCCTAGAATTTTATTATTTTTTGAGACTTTTATAAATGTGATCACTTTCTTGATTTCTCTCTCAGCAAGTTTATTATTGGTGTTTAAAAATGGTATTGATTTTTGTATGTTAATTTTGTGTGTCTTGTGACTTTACTGAATAAGTTTCAATTCTAAGAATTTTTTGGTGGATTCTTTAGGTTTTTCTACATATCATTCTGTGCCACATTTGCTGTGAGAATGAAGAGCATTCTCAGCAACCAGACTGTTCACATTCCAGGAAATGTTGGTATGACTTTGAAGGGATGGGCCATAGAGGGAAGTACCTTTCATTATATTTAAGTAGTTTATTTTTCTGTTTTACTTGGAGTTCTAACTAGGAATGGATTCTGACAAATCAGAGGCCATTTCAGCATCTATTAGTAAATTCGCATGTGCAATTTTTTTTCATCTTTAGATTTTCAGATAGTACATTACATTCATATATTTCCCGATATTGAACCACCTTTATGTTTCTGAATAAAAGCTACTGGAATAAACTATATTATCATTTTTTAGTGCTGTAGTATATTTAGAATTTTCATAAAACATGAGATAGTGTTGCTGTTGATATCAAGAGCAGGTGGTAACAAAATAAATCAGGAAGTTCCTATCTTTTCATGGTCTGCAGTTCAGGTTGTTCGAACTTATTTGTACTCTATAAGCATCTCTCAGTGTTCCCAGGGACCCCCATCTCCATTAATACCATGTATGGTCACATTTAGGCTAACTTTGTGGGTATGTGATAGCGTCTCATTGTGGTTTTCATTTCCAATTACCTAATCATTCAGAACTTCTGGATGTTGTCTTTTGCAAAGGATTAGTTCAAGCTTTTGCTTGTTTTTCTGTCAAGTTGTCTGTTTTGTTTCTAAATCATAGGATTTCTTTATTATATCCTGGTTCTTAGTGCTTTGTTAGTTGTATGTTGCAAATATCTTCTTCCTCGCAGTGATTTGTTTCTTTCATTGGCCATAGCATCTTTAATAAACCATTTAATAACATTTAACAAATGGTATCTTTTCTTAACTTTAAAGGAAGTTGTATTTGTCAGTAATCAAAATGTTCTGTGGTGGTTAGTGCTCTTTTGTATTATGTTTAGTTTTTTTCATCTAAAACATGTGAACATAGTCTCTGTAAGTGCATGGCGACCAAATGACAGAGGCGAGAAATGGGAAGCAAACCTTGGATCAGCAGCTTTCCTTTATTCTGCTGTGAATCCATCAGGCATAGGATGCCTCATTTTCTGGGTACGAGAAATGGCCCCAGAGTTACAGAAGGAGTCTGGGTTTTAAAGTTTACAATGAGGGTGAATTAATCATTGGAGATGCGGATGTGCGGTTTGGACAGTGAGAGACCTCATTGTGCGGATTAAAATTTTAACTGAGGAAGGCAGTTGTAAAATGTTTGAAACTCCTTGTCATTTGGGAAAGCTTACAAGTTGGTGTTCACTGCTTATCTTCCTTCCTCTGGGACCCATTGTCACCTAGTGCTTCTCTATTTGGTTTTCTCCTTCCAGGACTCATCTAAAATGGGGAAGGGTAAAGTCCAGGGCCCAGAATTTCAGTATTTGCCTCCTTCCTTGAGGACCCATTGAGATTGGGAAGGGGCAATATTTGGTTTTTGTGGAGATGCTGGGGTGAACCTGGGAAGGAATAAAAGTTTGCTTTTTTCCTCAGGGCCCATTGCTAACAGAAAGGATGTTCTGGGACAGGTTTAATGTTTGGTTAATTTTCCCTCCCTCCTCCCGAGTCACACTGTCCCTTTGTTTTTCCTGGGGAGCTGTCTTGTAGGCATATTATTTTCCATAACCCTTCAGTCTCCTATTTGTCACCTAAAAATCTTCATAGGTTTTGTATTTCATGTTTGTTCTTTCATCTACTTAGAGTAAATATTTGTAAATACTCTATTCTCTTATTCTGTTTGTCTATTCATGTACCACTTATTAATTATTAATGCTTTATGGTAAGACTTTTTTATAAAACTTTTGATTTCACTGATAACTAGCAAGTTTTAATATTTGGTAGAATAAGTCTTTCTCAGGCTTGTCTCTCTGTCTCTGTCTCTGTCTCTGTCTCTCTCTGGGTCTCCTTCTTCTACCTCCATTTTTCACTTATAAGGGCCCTTATATTTATTCTAGGTCCACTCAGGTAAACCCAGAAAAAATTATACTCTCAAATCACCTGATGAGCAACTTTAAATCTCCTTTGACATGAAATCTAACACATTCACGATGCCTGGATTTTCCAAGGAACAGGAATAGCCAAGACATTTTTTTTTTTAATGGTACTGGGGATTGAACCCAAGGGTGCTCTGACCTTTTTTATTTTACATTTTGAGACAGAGTCTCGCTAACTTTCCAGACTGGCCTTGAATTTGTGATCCCTCTGCTTCAGTCTGCTGAGTCACTGGGATTACCAGCCTGTGCCACAGTGCCTGCAACTCATCCTGTTGGATCTTGAGACAATGTAGTACAATTTAACAAGAGGCACATCTATAATAAATAGCCTGGTTAGGAGACAATGGGAAGGAGAACAGCAAGTTCCTTACCCTGTGCCTCATGACACATAGCTGCACGATTAGCCTCCCAAGATGATTGCTCTGAGCTCGTACTCCTAATTCCAGGATAACTTCACATTAACAGTCTTTCCACAGATTGGAATTGAGATGTGTTGGTAAATTGCCTTTTTACTGAGATCCCTTTGCTGAAACGGAAGGGATATTGATGGATATTGGTGGGTGAATATCTGATACACAGGTACCTCAATTCCTTTCACCCACCACCAGCCCTATGGTGTAAAACATGGCCTCTCTCCATGGCTCTTCCCATTTGGAACTTGTACTTCTCTGGAATGTATTTGTGACTTTGTAATGCCAGTGAGATCTGGGACCCTGGAGGAGACTCCTTTTCATAGCAAACACTGTGCCTCACTTGGAAATAATCTGCAGTATCTTTCTTATTTTGCCAGCCCATACCTGACCTGTGCCTTTCTAGAATTTCCTGCCTTTCCAGTGGTTTCTGAGAGTCAATCTCTTCAGCTGAGCCCAATTGGAGAGGGAGTTCACTGAGGGGATGGTCTCACCTTGTTCTTCTGTAATCCTCAAGAAAATTGAGTAAAGGGTTTGCCCACCTTGACTTTCAGCTAGAAATGTAGGTTGGAGGTGGGAATTGCGGAAAGAGGGGAAAGGAGAGGAAGGTCACTGAGAATACCAGGCTCTGGGGAGGAAGCAGGATTTGTGAAGAGTGAGGAAATCAGAGATCTGAGGGTTGGGTCCAGGCTGGCTCATAACTCAGGGAGCAGGTGGATATGGGGAGACAGTTGGCAGTGGACGGAATAAGAAGGCTAAGGGAAGGAGACAGTGGAACTAAACAAGAGACGCAACTTCACCTTTGCAACATGAGATGCTTCTTTTGAATAAAGATGGTGGTGACTTGGATGCCAGGCTTATGAGAGACAGACAGCATGATGCAGGTAGGGAGAAGCCCTGGGTCCTACCTGGCAGAGGGGACTGAGCTTTGGTGAATGGAAATCTCCTTCCAGTGAGAAAATGAGAAAAGTAGAAACCTCCGACAGATTCCTCTTTCTCTCCCCACAGGTGTTCTATTTCAAGATGTCCTGGACTGACAACATCATCTATCGGGCTCCAGGACCCCGGCCTGTCTCTAAATATGTCTCCAACTCTGTGGAATCACCCTTCCTCTTGGACTCTCTCCGCCAGGAGCTCTTCAACCTGACTCACCTTCTATATTGGCCTCTGACCCCAGGAGATAGGGGGGACTTTTTGTCCTCCACCAGCCCCAAGACCTCCACCTACCACCTGAGGGGTCCTGCTCAGGACACCTATGCCCTGGGTGGCTACCTGGAGGTTGTCCTTGTGGCCAGGGACCACCAAGGCAGGCGCAAGATCCATGGTGGGGATCTGTTTCAGGCAAGATTGCTGGGTCCAGAATTGAGAGCAGGGGTCCCCGGGGATGTCCAGGACTTGGAGAATGGCACATACCTATTGTCCTTCCCTCTGCTCTGGGCTGGGAAGGCCCAGGTGCAAGTGCGGCTGATCCACTCCAGTGAGGCTGTTGGGGTTCTGCGCAGAATCTGGGAAGAGAGGAGGGCCACGGTTGATTTTAGGGGGTATTTCCAGGGCAGTTCTGGTGCTAAAGAGACTGTGATTTGCAATGTTGATCCTCACTCAACTGGGGCCAAAGGGCATACCTGCCAGTACAGGGATGTGGTTTCTGGTGAGCTCTGGTTCTGTGCTCAACCCCCTACTCTGCCCTGCAACTCTTTGGTTGCTCACTCAAGCGGGAGTTACCTGAAGGTGACCACACCACGTGATGACGCCCTGCTGGCAGGGTAAGAAACCCAGGATATGGATTCCAACCCTAAGCCTCATCTTTCCTTCCAAACTCACTCCTGTGATCCAGTGGCCCTCCACCACTTCCACCACTTGCACCATTCAGCAATTATTTCTACTCAATTCCAACATGAGCTTGTTGGGCAACTACCAAGTGACAGACATTGCTAGACAGACATACAGTACATGGTCAGGCTGTATCTTCAGAGAGGATTTTGATTGATCTTAGATTTGAAGTTCAATGAGGACTTCTGTAGATAAGAGGCAAAGTATTAAATACAACAAACTTATCTCAGGGCAAAAGTAGCTGAAGTGCTTCATTTATTTATCTAGGGTCTTGCTTTCATTTCTGTTTCAACCCAAGAGTTCATTACTGCAGATATTTAGTAGATTTTTAAATTATTTTCAGCAAAATATGTTGTGAATACCTAGGTGTGCCATTCTTTTTCATGAGTTTGGGTAGCATCTTTGACATTGGTTTCTTCAATTTCTTATAGAGTTTATTTCCTTTTTTGTAGTTTCATGATTCAGAACACTTAACACCATCTATTTCAGTCTTCCTTTTATTGTGTAAAAATGATGAGGGATATGAATTTCCCTCTGAGTACAGCTTTAGCTGTATTCTCCAAAGTTTTACATATGGAAGCTTTATTTTTATTGTGTTTTACATATTTTATAATTTCTACAGTTGTTACCTCTTTAATTCATGAGTTATTTACAAATTACTTTTAAAGTTTTTGTGTAATTTGTAAATGATTTGTGAATTATTAACTTTTAAATTTTTTGAATTTTGAGAGTTTAGGGTTGAAATACCCTCTAAAATTAAAAATACCCCCTAAAATTAAAAATCTACTAAATATCTGCACACGTCTTTAATCACAGTGACTCCTGCTTTTTCTTTGGATGCCACATTTCATTGAAAGTAATTTACATTCTGTATTTTTCCAGAAAGAATTCTGAACCTATTTAATCTAACTTGTTAAGTTTTACATTCTCAACTTTTATATCTTCACTAATATTTTGTGACTGCTTAATCTAATAGCTTCAGATATAAATGTATTATATTGTGTTTGTAGATTTATAGGTTATGATCAGCTTCCTCTCTCTCTTTGTGGTGTTAGAGATTGAACCCAGGGCCTCTTGCATGCTAGGCATGTGCTCTATCACTGAGCTATACCTCAGCCCCAATGATATCTCTTTATAACACAGCAGTTTTCACTTCACAAATTTCAAGGCAATGCTATGCTGGATATTTGTCTCTGAGTTTGTTTTATGTTATTGGTAAATTAATTTGGGATCAGGAAAATACTATTATGGTGTCACAAAGAAAAATATAGTTAAATTGGGCTACATAGAAATCAAATACTTCTCCCTTACAAAAAGTAACTTAATTAAGTCAAACTAAAATCTGAGAGATGATATCTATAACACATTTAATTGATATAATAATATTAGTACTAGGAGTAAGTAAAGAAATATTACAAAGCAATAAGAAATATTATATAGCCCAATAGAGCAATAAGGAAAAAATATAAATAAGAAATCAAGGAAGAAAGATTTGAATAGTGAATAAAAAATATACACTCATCCTCATAATCAATGAGGGAAATTTACAATGAAACCAAGATATAATAATATGTTTTTTTGGGAGTTTCCTTTTAATTTTTTAAAATTTTGATTCAGGTTCTTGCTAAGTTTCTTAGGGCCACACTAAGTTGCTGATGCTGGTATTGAACTTGCAATCTTCCTGCCCCAGCCTCTCAAGTTGCTGGGATTACAGGCATGCACCACCACACTTGACTCCCAAATATAATGTCTTTAATTTTTATATGGACAAAACATTTTAATCTGGAAAAACAAAGAGTGATGATGATGGGTAGTGGTAGAAAATCTCATATCTACTGGTAGGGGTGTTAATACCATTACTTATACCATTACTAAATCTTGAAAACATAATGAGTAATGATAGATACATATTATAGCTAAAGTTTTAAAACTTGCAAACAATTCTAATTAGTATTTTGAATTCATAAACATGTATCAACTGTATCAAATATGGATGAGAATATAAATAATGAATTCATAATAGTGACTTCATCTTTTTGAGGAACAGTATGAAAGAGGGCAGGAGCATGGGGGTGTGTGTGCCTGAGGAACCTGTAATGATCAATCTATTAATTTTCAACCATTGATTGTGAATAACTATAGACCCACAAAAAGTTGCCAAAAGAATACATTGAATCATCTGACTCTCTGGCCCAATTTCCCCCAATGGCAACATTTCATATATGAAGAACAAAATCAAAACAGAAAATAAGCTTTGATACAATTCTGTTAACCAGACCACAAAACCATTCAGTTTCCGTCTACTGGTCCATGTAGTTGTGTGTGTGTGTGTGTGTGTGTGTTTCTCTACAAATTCACAATACGTATAGAATGTTGTAACCACCATTACAATCAAGATTCAGAAATGTTCTCCACCAAAAGGAAACCCTTCTGCTCTCCTTTCTAGGCTCTCCCACTCCCCAGTGCCTGTTCTTATCACCTGGTAACTCTTTTCTGTTCTCTATCTCTACAGTTTTGTCATTTCTAGATGGTTCTGTAAGTAGAGTTAGACAGTAATGCAGTAATTTGAGATTTTTTTACACAAAACACAGAGTTCTCTAGACCCATCCATGCTGTTGGATCTATTGATAATTCATTTCTTTTTCTTGCCACTGTGTACGTTTGTTAAGACATTTGCCCATTGAAGGACGTTGGGGTGTTTCCAGATTTTAACTATCATAAATAAAGCTTCTATGAATATTTATATACAGGTTCTTTTTTTTAAAAAAAAAGATTCTTTTGTCATATCTGTGGAATAAAATGCCTGAGTGCAGTTTCTTGGTTGTGCAATTGGTAGATGCTTAGTTTTACAATAAACTGCCAAACTATTTGCCAGAGTGGCTGTACCATTTTATATTCCCACCAGCCATGTGTAAGAGACCCAGTCTCTCTGTGTCCTCTCCTGCATTTAGCATTAGTATTTTAACATTTTAGCTATTGATCAATTTCTTTTTAAAGAAAGATTGGATTCACGTCTGGCAAAATATTAATATCTAATAGATCTATATGTTACGTACACAGTAAAGACATTTTTTAATGATGCATAGAAGAGGGGAAGGGAGCCTGATGGAGTTATAGCTACAGAAGGAGGTAATAATGGGATGGGTGTGGTGGTGCACAACTGTGATACCATTATTTTGGGAGGCTGAGGCTGGAAGATCCAAAGTTTAAAGCCATCCTCAGCAACTTAGTGAGGCACTGAGCAACTCAGCAAGACTCTGTCTTAAAACAAACAAACAAAAAAATTAAAATTAAAAAAAAGGCTGGGGATGTGGCTCAGTGGTTAAGCACCCCTGGGTTCAGTTCTTGGTACTAAAAAGAAAAGAAAACAACAACAAAAACAAATAATGGAAGACTGGAGCTGTTTTAACTTTTTGTTTAAACAATAAAAAAATCAAATTTAGTGAAGTTTCATTTACATGCAATGAAATAACCATGTTTCTAATGTGCAAGTCAATGTGTTTTTTGATTGCCAATACAGTCAAGCTAGAGAACATTTTCCCCTGAAGTTCTCTTGCACCCCTTCACTGTCAATTTCTTTCCTCTTCTAATCTCCAGTCCCAGGAAGCCAAACAGCCTTCTGACAGTAAATATAGGTTTGTCTTTTGTAAAATTGCATAAAACCAGAATCACACAGTATACAGTCTCTTGTATCTGCCTTGTATCTGCCTTTGGGTCAGTGAAATGTTTCTGAGACTCATCTCTGCTGTTGTATATCAATAGCTTTTCCTTCCTATTGCTGAAAGTCTTGTGTCTTATGGATATAGCACCATTTGTTCACCCATTCACCTCTCCGTGAACATCTGAGTCATTTCCAGTTTGAGCCAATAAAAAAAGACTGCTGTGAACATTGAGGTATGAAGTGGGGTTTTTTGTTTGTTTGTTTTATGGTGCTGGGGATTGAACCCAGTGACTTGTGCATGCAAGGCAGGCACTCTACCCATTGAGCGACCTCCCCAGCCCCGAGGTATGAGAGTTTTGTAGACAAATATTTTTATATTAGGTAAACAACTATAGATCCAGCTTTTAATTTCAAAAACATTATTTTTTAGAACAGTTTTAGATTAACAGAGAAACTGAGAAGATAGCGTGAACTTCTGGTGTTTCATTTCCTGCATAGTATCTCTTCTGATTCACATCTTACATGAATGTGGTACATCTGTTTCAATTCATGAACCTGTGGTGAGGCATTATTAACATTACAGTCCATTAGATTTTTAACTAATGTCTTTTCTTATCGGAGATCCCATTCAAGTTACCATATTACATTCAGGCTTATCTTGGTTGTAACAGTCTTTCTGACTTTGTCTTTGATGACCTTGAGTTTTGGAGAAGTACTGATCAATTATCTTGTGGGATTCCCCTCTATGGAAATATATCTGATGTCTCTTGCTTATGATCAGACTGGGATTGTGTATTTTAGGAAGGAAAATTGTGGAAGTAAATTATATTTCCATCAGGTGACATCACAGGTACACAGTATGAATGTGGTTTGTGCCTGGCCAAGGGGATTTTTGTTAGGTTTCTGCACTGTAAAGCTACCCCCACCCCACCTCCTTCTTTCTTACTGTAACTTTGGAAATCAGTAGGCACAACCCAACTCAAAGAGTGGAGAGGTGTGTCCCCAATGTCTGAGTGTTCATATAACAATAACAAAAAAATCTCTGCTCCCTGTCCTTCCAGAATTTAGTGCCAGGAAGTGATTTTCCTCCCTGGCATTCTGTGTATTTCCATTTATAGAAAAAGAAAACTCTGTGATCTGGCTTAGTTGTCTTTCTTCACCTTGACTATTAGTAAGCCAAAAGTCCAATGAGTAGAGGAAATGCAGAAAGTCCCTCCCCAAGACTCCTGATAATGGCTCCAAATTATAAATGTGCTAATTATTGGAATGTTCTCATTCCTTTTTTTAATTAGAGGGGAAACAACAAGTCAATCAACAAATCCCTTTAGCAACTCCAGATTTCACCAGGTGGCCTTCCACAAAGCTCTCTCTCCCTGTTTCTCCAGGAAGGTGACTGACAAGCTGCTGCCTCAGGGTGTTGCTCCAATTCTGATCAGACCAGCAACCACAGAAAACATCAGTCGGGGTGAGTGGGGCTGAGTCATGCTGGGAGTGGAGGTTGATAATGGACCTATATGGGTTTTGTTCCTTGACCGAGAGGCTAGCCTCTCCCTTCCAGGGCGGTGGAGTACAGGGGTCAGCAGAACGGACTGTGACACCAGGCTTCTTGGATTCACATGCTATCCCTGCCAGTCACTGTTTTTCTGATTTCAAACCACTTCATTGAGGTATGGATTGACATACTAAATGCTGTGTACAACTAGATGCCTTTGGCCATAAACACACCCCATGAAACCATCAACACAATCTGTACCATAAACATATTCGACTTCTAGCAATTATACTTTAAGATTGTGATGGGACTGATGAAGAGAAGATCGAGAGTAAATTAGACTTTAAAATCTTACTTTGTGACCGAGGAGCTCAATTTTTATTCTGCAATTTTAGGAATATAAGAACACTGAGGATGTGTTTTCCATCTATTGTTCTATATAGATTACTATAATGGGGCAGGGAATTGAGTGCCATTTCATGCCCTATTTATCTAGAGATGTTCTATAGTAAAGGAAAATATATGCTTTAATACTCTCCTGAAAATATGATATGTTTTTAAAAATTTTATTTATTTATATATTTATTTGGTCTTGGGGATTGAACTCAGGGGCACTTAACCACTGAGCCACTTCCCCAGTCCTATTTTGTATTTTATTTAGAGACAGGGTCTCACTGAGTTACATAGCGCCTTGCTGTTGCTAAGTCTGGCTTTGCACTTGAGATCCTCCTCCCTCGGGATCTTCCTCCAGAGCTGCTGGGATTACAGGCGTTTGCCACCAAGCCAGGCATATTTTAAGTAAATACTCTATACACATTAAAAAATATATTCATTACCTTCCAAAATTTCCTCCTGCCACTTGTGTTTATTATTACTGTTATGGTGTATGTAACACTTGGCATAAGATTTTTCCCTCCCAGCAAATTTTCACTCTGCAATACAGTATTGTTCACTACAGACTCGGGACTGTAGAGTAGATCTCTTGGACTTATTCATCCTGTAAAACTGAAACTTTGTCTCTTTTCCCCATCATCTTCCTGCTTTCTCTTCACCTACGCCCATGGCAACCATCATTCTGCAGTCTGCCTCTTGAGTCTCACTAGTTAGATCCCTTGTGTCATTGAAGCCAGTGGTCTTTGACCTTCTTTGGCCCATTTCACTTAGCATGACGTCTCTGGAGATCAACCACGTTTTCACAAATGGCAGGGTTTCCTTCCTTTTCTTTTTGTTCTTTCATTTTCCTAGCTATACCAAGGAATAATTGACAAATGAAATGCATGTTTTTAAAGCATACAATGTGATGATGTAGTATAGGTACAGGTTAAGAAGCAATCACCCACAATTGAGTTACTTGGCCCATCCATTGTCTCACATAGTTTACCTGGTTGTTTTATTTTTATTATTTTTTTAGAGTGATAAGGACAACATGACACTTAATCTCTTAGCAAATTTCAAGTATATAATATAGATAATTATGATTTACTGTCACCATGCTATACATTAGAATGTATTGATCTTATAAATGCAAATTTGTACATTTTGAACCAAATCTTCCATTTTGCCCTTTCCCCAAGTCGCTGGCAACCTTCATTCTACTCTATTTTTAAAATTCATTTTTAGATTCCATATAGGTGATATCATATGGTATTTGTCTTTCTCTGCCTGGCTTCTTTGTTTTTGTGTGTGTCGGGGGACACAGGGAATTCAGCCAAGGGGCATTTTTCACTGAGCTACATCCCCAACCCTTTTATTATTATTTTTTAAAATTTTGAAACAGGGTCTTACTAAACTACTTAGGGTCTTGCTAAATTGCCGAGGCTGGCCTCGATCTTGCAAGCCACCTATCTCATCCTCCCAAGTTGCTGGGTTTACAGGTGTGCACCACCAGGCCCAACGGTCTGGCTTATCTCCCTTAGTATAATGCCCTTCAAGTTCATCCATGTTGTCCTAAAAAGCAGAATGTCCTTTCTTAAGAATGGATAATATTACTCTGTATGTGTGTCCTGTTTTCTTTACTCATTGATCCATTGCTAGACACTCAGTTATTTCCGTGTCTTAGATATTGTGAATAATGCTCCAATGAATGTGAAACTGTGGATAATCTTTTTGAGATCCTGATTTCACTTCCTTTTAGTATATACCCAGGAGTGGTATTGTTGCATCACATAGGAGTTCTGTTCATTATTTTTTGAACTGCCAATCATTGATCTTGATCACATATTGCTTAACATTTCATGTCCTAGTGTCCCTACTCTCACCAGATATAAGAATGGTGTGTCATAGGTTTTGTCAAAGAGTAAATGAAAAAGATACACGTAAAGCACACAGAAGAGCACCTGACATCTTCTAGATGTTAATGTTGGTTCTTTTTGTTTTTTATTTTGTTCTGCTTTTCTCCTTCCTATAGTGCTATCCCCACAGACCAAGTGCCGCCCTGGCCTTCTGGCCCCAAAGCCCTCTGGCTTCTACCACCAAGATGTATGGCATTCCCTGTCCTGCTCTGGCCAGTCCTTCCCCACTGTTGACAGCATCCTGGGCTGCCTGGCTGGCCACATCGTGCACATGATGGGGGACTCCACGCTTCGGCAATGGTGGGAATATCTACGTGACACAGTGCCCTGTGAGTGACACATGGGGACTCATGAAGAAACAGGTGACCAGAGAGGGATTTGAAGGAAACTGTGGTGCTTAGTGGAGAGGTGGGCAGGATGCTGGGTGCTCCTGAAAGGTGAGTGAATGAGGAGGGCACAGTTATCACTGGGCTGTCTTCCTGGTTTAGTTACCATGGAGCTCCAATGAGAGCACCAACCTTTCAAATAACAGCATGTGGTGATTCCAAGAGTCCTCATTTAATTTCCAAGTAAAATCTTCAGTGAGTTTCTCAAAGATTATTGAAGTGAGAAAAACACAAAGTTCACACATTTGCTGGGAGGAGTACTGGGGTTTGAACTCAGGGGAACTCAACCACCGAGCCACATTGCCAGTCCTATTTTGTATTTTATTGAGAGACAGGGTCTCACTGAGTTCCTTTGCACCTCGCTTTTGCTGAGGCTGGCTTTGAACTTGAGAACCTCTTTCCTTAGCCTCACAAACTACTGGGATTATAGGCATGGGCCACCCAGCCCGGCCACAAAGTTCAAAATTTTATCTCACCCACCACCCTGCACCTCAATTTTTTTTTCTTGCTGTTGTTGGATTCTTTGCTGATCTTGAGCAGTCACTTGGTAGAGATAGTGGTTCCCTTAGCACCTAAGGAGGCAGTCACTTCACTGAATGTGTCTTGTCCTCTCCAAAATTAGAGCAACCCAATCCCAAACCTTCCATTGTTCTAAATAGTCAAGATTAATAAAAAACAATATCACAGGACTTCTGAATACCTTCCTGCCATTTTTGAAAACAAAAGCAAATACTCAGCATCTTTAGCAGTGATTTTGAGTGAAATTCTGTTCTGTTCCAAGCAACCAGTACCTACTTCAGATATATTATAAATCGCAGGGCCTGAGATTCTAACTGAGTGGCAGAGCACTTTCCTAGTGTGTGCAGGGCCCGAAGTTCTATTCCCGGCATCACACACACACACACACACACACACACATGTTTTGATTTACAGTCCTTCAGATGTCTGAGAAATAGGAAGATATAATAGAAAAGCTAGCCAGAATGTCTGTCGTACTGGGACCACTGTTCAGTAGCCGTAATTCTTATAAATTTGATCACAAAATAGTCATCAGGCTAATTATAGCACTTGTTTACCTTGGTTTTGAGGGAAGTCCACCTAATACTATAGCCAATCTCAGAAAGGAAGCTCAGGCACTTTCTTGGTATCCTGCAAAGTTTAGAAATTAGCCACATTGTCATTGTAGTCACCATGTACAATTTGAAGTTCCCTTTTATTTTAAACAGTCAATTGGTCTGGGCACAGTGGCACACACCTGTGATTCCAGGTACTAGGGAGACTGAAGCAAGAGGATAATAAGTTCAAGGATCTAGCGAGATCCTGTCTCAAAATAATTTAAAATTGAGAAAGGGCAGGGAATACAGCTCAGTGGTAGAGTACTTGCCCAGCTTGCGGGAAGCCCTGGGTTCAGTCCCCAGCACCACAGAAAACACAACAAAACAGCTAGTTGAGGTCTAACTGACAAACCATGAGTGGCAGATATTTAAATTTTGACATACATTTACACTCATGGGACAACCTTCATAAATGAGATAATTAGCATATTCATCATGCAGAAAAGTGTCCTCAACTGATGAAACACTGGAAATCTGACCTAGGGGTACACGTGTAATTCCAGAGATTAGGGGATTGAGGCAGGAGGATCAAGAGGTCCTATGCAAATATGTGAGACCCTGTCTCCAAATATAACATAAAAAGGGCTGGAATTGGGCTGGGGTTGTGGCTCAGTGGCAGATAGCTTGCCTAGCACATGTGAGGCACTGGGTTTGATCCTCAGCACCACATAAAAATAGATAAACAAAATAAAGATATTGTGTCCATGTATAACTAAGATTTGTGCGGAGATGCTAGATTCCCTTTATCCATATTGCATTCAAGGCAACAAAGCAAATTTTGAAAATGTTGATTGGGCACCTGAAATAGAAGCTTACTAAGGATCAGATCTTAGACAAAATCTGAAGAGGTGGCCACGAATCCCCAGGGAAGGTCAATGGTAAAGTGAGTGCGGCTGTTTTGTGTTGGGGGACAGGCTGTGGCCTCTGCCCTGCAGACACCCTGAGACTGCCCTGGAGGGGCCCAGGCTGGGAAGGAAAGCGAGCCTCTCCCTGCTGCTGGATGACCCCCTGGCGTCCTTGCGAGGCAGGCAAGGCCAGCAGGGTCTTGGAGGGCCCTCAGGGTCTTGGAGGGCCCTCAGGGTCTTGGAGGGCCCTCAGGGTCTTGGAGGGCCGGGAAGGAGAGCACAGGAGAGCGTGGCCCCACAATGGACAGCTGAGCAGGAGGTCAGGGCCCTTTGCGCTGTTTCATGCGCGGGTCCAAGGGCCCTCACCCCATCCGGAAAAGGCGCACGACAGCATTACCTGCCCTGGAAGGTGAGCGAAGCCCAGAGGACGCGGGTGGACTGGCCCTTGGCCCTCGGGTGGTGATCTTCATTCTTCCAAAGAGAGAAAAGGCAGAAGAGCACATGCACGTGACCAATAGGAGGTGGCCGCCGCCCTTTGCAAAAGCTGTTTGTAGAAGACCTGGGTTTGCTTCGCATGTGTGAGGCACTGGGTTCGAGCCTCAGACCACATGAAAACAAATAAACAAAATAAAGTCATTGAGTCCACTTACAATTAAGAAACAAAATTTAAAAATCAAGTTTCTCCCCAACCTTTGAAAACCTTGGCTACATCTGGACATTCTAGTTGTAGAGGTTGTGGAGCTATGAGGCAGAAAATAACGTCTTGAAATGCCCATTTGTTTTAAAAATATCAAACAAGAAGTGTCTTCTGGAAGTGACTGTCACACCTCTAGGAGCGATACTTGATCACATTTGTTCAGTAGGTTAGAGGACATGGAGAAGACTGTGACCTTGAGAAGAAGGTCCTGTGCCAGACTGGTTATATGTAAAAGATATTTTTCCTATTATAACCATTGTTTTGTCTTTTATTCCTCATTCTGTATATACAGTTGACAAAGCTAAGTACTTTTTTTTGAAATATCTAGTCCTAGATGTTCTAAAGTGCTTGATATATGTTAAAAGTAGAAGTAGCAAAATATAATACATTTTATAAATTCCTTTGTTAAAATTCTTATGAAATGTTTTGGGGGGCAATAGCCAAACCCCTGTTGGGTAATACACATGGCATGCTGGTTCTCCAGAGCATCATGCCAGTGTGCCTAATGAGGCAAGAGTATCCTTATATCTGCGCAGTTTTGTTTTACTTTGCCGTGTACATACTGTATTTAAAGGGCAAACAAGTCCTAATCAATATCTAGTCTTTCTAGATGTTAAAGTGCTTGGCAGTGTGTGCCAAAAGTAGAATTAGTGAACAAATGTTGTATGTTTCTATGTTAAAATTTCTAGGAAAGAATGTCTTCTGATAAGGATTAGTGAAGGGTGCTCCTATTTTGAAGACATCTTCAAGGTAGAACTATTGTTTCATATGTGTAGTTTATGCAACACTGTCCTGTACATGGTGGACACGTTGAGTCCTTACCTGAAATATCTAGTCTGTCTAGGTATTTTAGAAGTAAAATATCATTTTGTAAATATCTTTTTGCCAAAATTCATATGGAATATAGTCTTTTGGGAATGGAGCTGTTAAGCCACCTGTGTGAGCAGTATAGTACCGTCCTTGTTCAGTGATGTGGAGGAGGTGGGAGGGAAATGAGT